AGATTTTGAACTTCGTTTTGAGAAAAAATGAACCAACTTGTCAGGGTTACAGCCCCGAGGGCCACATGCATTAAAAAAAAAAATGGGCCGAATTTAAAATAAAATAATACACTAAAAAGTAACATGCAAGTTTAGAGCTAAGGACATGAAGGCCTTCATACACTACATGAAGTTTCCTGTCAAATTGGGACCACAACTATATATAATTTGAGCCCCATGCCCAAGCTTGGTCATTTTGGTAAATATCAAAACTCGATTTAATAATCTTCCATATTTTATGCCATTTGTTAATGCTCTCGTTAATTTACAAAATCGGAGTTTTGGTCAATATCAATCTATGTAGATAAGGAAAATAATATATACACGATTTTTGTTAGAATAGTTGACTGTACAAAATTAAAATAACGTTTGACTGTATTTCCAAAATAAGAATCAGGATATAATGATCAATAACGTATACGGGCTGTTGAGAATGCCTCGCTCTCTGGCTTGCGATTCCCCTTTGGTCCCTCCGTTCTCGGCCGGTAGTCTCAACCTTCCTCCACCTCTCCCACCTGATCCTCCAGACCCACATTCCTCATCCATCCTCCCTTCTCTTACCTCTGCTCACAAAAACTCTTCTTCTATCCCTTTTTCTCCTTCTGCTCCCTGCTTAGGTTCTAAGCAAACTATTGTTGCTGCTCTTTGCCGAGCAATTGCTGCTCCTACTACTCTCTCTACCTCTCAGCTTCTTGCAAATTACATCTGCCTCCCTTCAAACTTCTCTCAGATTGATTCCAGTTCTAGATCTGGAAATTCCACAGCTGCAAAAACAACTACAGTGCCAAACCCTAACACTATTCACTTAGCCTCTGTTATTCCAAATTCATACCCAAATCTTCCTATAAACTACCTTTCGAATCCTCCCTTACTCAATCGTAGTGGATTACTTGGCTCTTCTCCTCTATTGGCCAGTCAAGAAATTCTCCCCGATCAACTGTCAGGGTATGTTGTCTTACCTGGCTCTCAAGGCCCTAAGCTAGCCAATGTGGCTCCTTCTCAACCTCCTGTAACATCCCAGCCTAGGCCAAAAGAGCCTTCCTGGGCTCAAAGAGTTAAACCTCCTATTGACAAATCTCTGAAGAGATTATCCCCTCAAACCGTCACTGACTCGGGTATCCCTAGAGTTAAAATTCCGGACTCAGTCTTCCAGATAGGAGCAGAGCTTCATAAAGACTTTGTCACATGTCGGTTCTTGGGAAGAACTCCTCACTTCAGCTTGATCCAAAGTGTGTTAAATTATATGTGGGGAAAAGGAAAGCATCTGGAAATCCACTCTTCTCTTGCTTCAAACTCTGTCCTGGTTAGAATTCAAAATGATTATATTAGGAAAAAGGTTCTTGAGAAAAAAATTTGGTATGTGGACACTACCATGTTTCATGTTTCCCAATGGTCTGAAGAAAGTGTTGAAGAAACACCTTCTCTGGAGTGTATTCCCTTGTGGGCTCATTTCATGATGTTCCTTTTAACTTGATCCACCGCCAGGGTCTCAGTCACATTGTTGGCCAAATTGGTGAACCAAAAGAAACGGATGACTGGACTGTAAATCTTACCAGCATAAACTCTGCCCATGTTAAGGTTGAAGTAAATACCAAAAAGATGCTGCCTACCTTGCTGGAGGTGGAAAGGGAAAATGGGAGCATCACCACTATCAAAGTTGACTA